CTGGTGAACAAGGCTGTGGTGGACTACTTCTTCGTGGAGCTCGAGGTGGAGCGGCACTTCGAGGCCCTGCGGCACTTCCTGCTGATGGAGGACGGGGAGTTTGCCCAGTCCCTGAGCGACCTGCTGTTTGAGAAAGTGAGTGGGGCGTCTCGGGGCCGGCTGGTGAAGACCCCGAGCCAGGTGGTGCCGGGGTGAGAGGACTGAGTTGAGAAAACCGACAGTGCGTCTTTGTTTTTCTGCAAGGATGACCTAATGCGGAGGTCGTGTTTGGTTTTCCGAGGTGCAGACTTGAAGCTGGCTTCATGGCAGAGGTTTTTCTCTGAATGATGGTTATGTGCTGCGCTCGCTTTATCAGTAGTAAAGGTATGGCCATGCCTGTAGAGTACCGCTTCCCTCTTACACCCACTCTCCCTTTGCCGCCTGTCCTTACAGCTTGGCAGTGGCCAGACCCCAGGGGAGCTCTTGACCCCCTTTGTGCTGAACTCCATCTTGACCCGGGCTCTGCAGTACAGTCTCCATGGCGACAGTCCGCTGGCGGCCAACTTCACCTTTGCCTTGCGCTTCCTGCCGGAGACCTTCCACCCCCATGCCCCTGACGCCCTGGGCTGCCTGGAGCTGCGCTACAAGGTGGGGGAGCGGAGCCACAGGCAGCTGTGTGCCGCGGTTCCAGCCCCCTCTTGCCCTCGCTGAAGCGGCCTCTCTCTCTCTCGGTCCCGCAGGTGGACTGGCCGCTGAACATCGTCATCACCGACAGCTGCATGAGCAAGTACAACCGTCTCTTCTCCTTCCTGCTGCAGCTGAAGCACATGGTCTGGACGCTGCGCGACGTCTGGTTCCACCTGAAGAGGGCAGGTCAGCGGTGCAGCCGCTGTCACGGCGGGAGGGGACATGTGTAGCATAGAAATAAATAATCAATAATCCTCTTATCGCTCTTCTGGACACTCAACGCAAAGCGCTTTACAGGTGATGGGGGCTCTCCTCCACCACCACCAGTGTGCAGCCCCACCTGGATGATTCAATGGCAGCCATAGTGCACCAGTACACTCCCCACACACCAGCTCTCAGTGGGGAGGACAACAGAGTGATGAAGCCAGTTCAGAGAGGGGGGTTATTAGGAGGCCATGACTGGTAAAGGTCGGGGGAATATTTGGACAGGACCCCGGAATTAACACCCCGACTCTTTTCGAGAAACACCCTGGGTTTTTAATGACCACTGGGAGTCAGGACCTCAGTTTAACATCTCATCAGAAGCATGGTGCCTTTCCTACAGTACAGTGTCCCCGTCACTAAACTGGGGCATTAGGATCCACACAGACTGCAGGGTGAGCGCCCCCTGCTGGCCCCACTAACACCTCTTCCAGCAGCAACCTTTGCTTTCCCAGGAGCCCCCCCCCTCCAGGCTCACACTGGCTGATCTCTCCGTATCTCTCTCGTTCCCCCGCTCTCTCCCAGCTCTGGTGAAGGGGGCCGGCCGCGGGGGGCAGTTCCGCCAGCTGCAGCTGTATCGCCACGAGATGCAGCACTTCGTGAAGGTGATCCAGGGCTACATCGCCAACCAGATCCTGCAGGTGTCCTGGAGCGAGTTCTCCCAGCGGCTGGGCAGTGTCAGCGACCTGGACGCCATCCACCGCAGGCACGCCGACTACCTCAACAGAGCCATCTTCAGGTGGGAGGACCAGCAAGTCTGATGATAATAATGATAATGTTTCTTTATTGGCCCTATACAATTTCTTGCATTAGGAATTCGTCTTTTCGCAGACCCCAGCTTTTTCCTCCAAGGAGACACAGACAGGGAGAGAAGCTTGGGGTCAGAGCGCAGGGTCTGCCATTGTACGGCACCTCTGGAGCAGTTAGGGTTAAGGGCCTTGCTCAGGGGCCCAACGGAGTAGGATTCCTCTGCCGGCCGCGAGATTTGAACCGGCAACCTTCCAGTCACAGATCCTTAGCCACAGAGCCACCGCTCCGCCCAATGTGATTGCACAGCCTTGAGAAGAATTTAAGCACTTACTTATCTTGTAATTTCCACATCGGTCTATTCCTACTTTGCATGTGCCCTTGGCCTGTTTTAGGTGCCTCTTGGAATCATCTGTAAGCATGAAAATCGGTCTCTTTCAGGTCGTCTCTTGGAGTATCTTGTAGAGCAGAGAGGTAACTCAAGTTACTAAGCCTTACCTGTTTAACACTTTTCTTTCCTCCGTCCTTGTCTCCCCTCTCCCCTCTCTTCTTCTCTCAGGGGCCTGCTGACAGAGAAGGCTGCCCCTGTGATGAACATAATCCACAGCATCTTCAGCCTGATCCTGAAATTCCGCACCCAGCTCATCGCACAGCCCTGGGGCTGCCAGCAGGGGGAGGCAGAGCACCCCAATTTCGTGGCCATGCAGCACTCGTACCGCACCTTCAAGTACTACTCCCACTTCCTCTTCAAAGGTACAGTCCCCCCGTGCCACAGGAGAGCTGGGCATTGCGTGTGCAGTCTCCTGCCGCCAAGACGAGCTGGCGGCGGCCTGCTCAACACGGGCACTGGAACGCTTTCTGCCAGCAGGTCCAAAGCAAGGGGTGACCCGAGTGGTAGAGTGAGGGAGTCAAGTGCAGAAAATGTTTAGAAATGCTGGGGAGGCAGAGATGGATTTTTGTTGATTGCAGGATCCTAGGAGTCCAGGATGATGAAACAGATTTTGCATTTTCAGATTCTGCCTATTTGTGTAAAAGGCAAAGTGTATTACACACCCAATAAAGCCAAGTGAAAACTGCAGTGAACACTGATATTCTCTGTTCATGTGAGTGAGCTGCGTGCAGGCAGGGTGTCACAGAAAACGATAACGGGCTTGAAGCACTGCTGCACCTACTCTATTAAACTATCAGCATCTTCATACCCAGCGTCCCAGATCCAGTCCAGGGATTTTGGCATTGGAAAAGGTCCAGGATCCCAGGATTTGTTTCCACATGAATATGGCTGTTTTATAATGACAGCTTTTGTGGGTATAGATACCTGCAGTTTAGTACTAGAATTCCAGGGGCGCAGTGCCTCTGAATTGCACTGCGTTATGAAGCAGGGAGTACTCAGTGCATCCTATGTCTTCTTTTCAACAGTGGTCACCAAGCTGGTGAACAGGGGTTACCAGCCCCATCTGGAGGACTTTCTTCTGCGCATCAACTTCAACAACTACTACAAGGACTCCTGAGGAACTCCTGAGAGCGGGGAAAAGTTCGTTCTTTACCAAGGACTCACTTGGAGCTGCAGCCTGGTCACATTGGCCAGTCTTATTGACGGAGAGTGGATCTGCTGTCCAGTTCACAGCAGAAGTGGTACTGTGGTTCACACAGAGCATCACCAGACATAAAGCAACATCCTGACTTTAAATATTGTATTATAGTTTAATAGTACAGTATATACTTACAAAATATATATATATATGCCAGAATACAGTCCCTAAACTCACATGTGGCCAGTTTAAGAAATTGCACTCCTCAGTTACTGTAGTGTAAAGCAGCAGAAGACTGTCTTCAGCACTGTTTCTTACCATTGTATTGATGAAGTGCATTTTTATGTTTCCATTTGTGTCTGCTAATGAAATCGCTAGTTTTCTAGTCTGCTAAACAGTGACTGGTTTTCATAATTACTCATTTTTTAAAGACGATCCCTACAGCTTATTGGTTAGCTGCGTCATGGCCTGGTCCAGGAAGCTCTGCCCTTGTTTGTGTGATACAGCACTACTGTAAAGAGAGCTGATCCAATAAAGAGTTTATTTGGCGTAACTGTCTTTGAGAGCCGATAGTTGGCAGTGTGTCTTCATCACTGTACTTCAAATGTCCCTCATTAAAAATGGACGAAGGTATAGGGTGCATAATTGTAGTGGCGCAGATCCAAGGTGGAAGGTGATGAACTAATCATGTTGCTCTGTAAATTGGATGATTCCATAAATCTTAACTTCAGTATCTCAGGAAGTAAATGTGTTGCATTTTATAAGACTAATCTTCTTTGTGCAGCTTTTCTAGAACATACTCATTTTTTTTCAGTATACATCATCAGGGCCTCGTCTAAATTGCAATTTGCCTAAAGTGCCTTTGAGTTTTGGCCCAGTTACAGGAAAGTTAAGAAAACTCACAGAACTAATTCTTCTGCTTGAATGACTACATTAATTTTCCAAAGGCAATGGCTTTTTTAAATTAAACTGTAAAACTTGGCTAATAAAACACTGAATTATTTTCATGACCAGAATTTTTACTTTATTCAAAGATGAAAATTGTGGTTGATGCCTAATTTTTAAGGAGGCCATCCATTCCCACAGTATTGTAAATAAAGTGCTAGGGTCAGCTGCTACACCTTTTCATTTTTATTACCTCTGCTCATTTTTGTATAGCTGAATGTCCATATATCATCAATTTAAAGTACAGTATATTGTGACACTGAAAGAACACAATTAGGCATGCATCATTATGAGAAAAGAATGCAACTTTAATCATTGAGTAGAAAAGCCATTTACTTTTATTAAAGGTTACGAATTAAATGAGTTCAGAAAATAATGCTGTATGTGCAAAACATTGCAAAAACTACAGCCCCTGTCTTTTTAAACGTGACAAAGGTTCTTGTGAAAAAATACTAAACAGAAGAAGCATTTTTGTGAGATACAGATTTAGCAATAAGTATTTTGTTGAGCATGGAGTCATTTTCTATAACTAAAACTGGATTTTGTTTTCCTTTTTATAAATTTCCAGACCCGATAACACACAAGCGTGCATTTCTGTGAAGAAAAATTACAAAGCAAAAAGACAACAGCAACCTCTCCCTGTTCATTTGCCATCCTGTCCCTCATAGCAGGCCAGAGAGAACATCTCTTTTATAGCTTGACTTGTAAACAGTTTAATCATGTCTAGTGCTCCTTCATTATATAAGCATTTTAAGCCATGTTTTAAAGTGCTGAAAAGTGTACTTCACCATGTACTTATAGGTAACCCCTTAAGCACAACCGATACCTAAAAATAGTCCCTACAACAGGCTGAGGACATGTTGCATCTTCAACAAGCCTTTGAAAAGCTGACACGTGCAATAAAGGAAGCAGGGAATTAAGAGAAATCTGCACCCTCTGGCCACAGTTTCAAGGCAGATACTACAGAGCCTATTGGGAATCCATCTGCTTTCTCCTTAAAGAGTGGGGAACTGCCTTCCTGCTGTTATTAGGAGTGACGAGGACATCAAGAACTGAAGAAATGTGCTTCAGCGATTATTCGAACTACCGCCCTTCAGCTCAGCACTCTAAACTGGCTCACGCGGCGTGGAATGACAGCAAGCCCATGCACATGACGAAGGGCCCACTTCTGAAAGCTGAGAAACTGCACTGGGGCACAACAAAGACTGTTCTTCCCGGCAGTATGAAGGAAAGAAAACTCCCCGTGCATTGCTTTAAAGTCACTATAACAAAGAAAAACAATTGATGATCGATTCAAAAACACAAAAATGATAGGCTGCAATGGAACAAGTAAAGGTTTCTTCCACTGCTGAAGAGAAAAGAGACACGTTTCGGCTGTGGAAACACACCTGAAGACTCCACAGCCGCAATGTTGCGTCTTTTTTCCTTTCTTCATGGAATAAACCTTAACGCGTTACTAAGAAGCAGAAAAAGAATCGGTTGCACCCGGTGCAGCCTTCAGTTTCCAGAGGCTCGGACTCATCTGGGCACTGTGCCAGCTTGGGAAAACCTAACCCTACCACCTCTGCGGCCCTGGCCGCCCATCAAACTCATTGTCTCGGAAGTGTTTTCCCTTGAACAATATTTGTAACGTTATTAAAAAAAAATTAGCTCTGAGTCGATTCCAGTGGGGAATTCCAGTACGACTCTGGCCACTGTTTCTGTATTTTATGTGCTGTACGTAGAAGCGAGTTTTTTCAAGGCTTTCTTCTCCCACGGGAAGAAAATCAGCATGCGGGGATTTTGGAAAAATTCCCAGGATTTATCTGGAGTTAGAGCCACTAGAGAAAACCCCGGACTTCTCATGAGGAGGAAATGGTGATGACGGTACATTTGATTCTAGTGCAGCTCAGCTGTAACATTCCACTTCCTTCAGTCGAGGCAGAAAAGCACTACTTCTTGCCCTCAATCCATGCATTTAATTCCAAATCTCTATCTTCAGATCACAGATTTGCTCCGGTCTCTCCAAGCCCTTAGAAAACGTCCTCACTGTACTGACACGCACTCAAGGGAGAGCTGAAACAGTATTGCTTTGTATTTCTGAATGCCTTTACTGTCTGAGCAGCCTAGTGGGGATTTCGCATATGTGGGGTTAACAGAGCTGCGTACCTTAAGTTTCGGTGCTACGTATGATGCAACCTACTATCTGATCACACGAACAAGCTGCCAACTGCGCCAGGATTAATCTGGCTGTAATGTAATGAAGACTGAGAGGATTTTGTGTACGAGCAAAATATATTTTACATGACTACAGAGAGTACAATAAAATGAAACTGCATTATTCTTGAAAAGAATAAATCACGGTATGATTTATCCAGTGGCAACTTTTATTGACATACAATGCCTTGAAAAAGAACTCAATTTAAAAACGGTCTTCTGATGATGACTTTCGAACAGAGAGCTGTCTGACTTTAAAGGGAGGCGGGAGTCAGAGAAAAGATACTGTGGCAGCTGAGCCCAAGAGCTCAGACTACAGACTCACGTTAGTGGGTGTACAGTAAGCTACACAGGGGAGAAGAGGGACTGTCCCATGGAAAGTATTCCTATAGTTTATCTACTGTCCTCTTAAAATCCTAACTACTGAAAACATTCTCTTAAAGGACTCAAAGGTCAGTTTTCACAAAACGTTTCACACAGAAAAACAAACTGTTTCTCCTTTAAGGAACAGAGCAAAAGGTATATTTTTGTCACAGAGCATGCGCCTTGTTTTGTAGGAGCCTGGAGAAGGCTAAAACAGTGCGTTTCTTTTCTTTACCTTTCGTGGAATGAATTTGTACTTGTTTCTTTGTTCTGTAGACGAAGTGCACGATCAAATAATTCTTTATTCATTTTACTGAGCATGTCCACATTTCTCGCTTCTGAACAAACAGCGCCAACACCAGCTGTGTAGTAGATAATGCTGTTATGAAAATAGGCCAGAATTTGGGAAAACCCACAGTAGAAGGTTAATCAGTCATTCTCTTAGGTGCTCAATTACATAATTTTCAGTAATATACTTTAGAAATGCATTATTATTATTAATACTGCACCATGATAGCACTTTCTGGACATTGTGACTTGGCATTTAGTTACGTTAAAGCCAGTAGCTAAGGACATCACATGCTCACGTGCTGAGATCGATGATCTTGCCTCTTAAACAGCCACTGAGAGAAGTCTGTAAACTTCAGCCAGCCTTAAACAGAGGTCAAATGGTCAAGTTAAAAAAAAAACATTTAAACCTCTTCTGTCTTCATGTGACAAAACACAAGATTATCCTTCAATACATTTTATCTCTGTTTACATGTAGCTCTACAAAATGAGACATGATTTGAAACTTGATAACAGTGCAATTCATTTCAAGTTGATGAACAGGAATCAAAAGATGACACTACTGTTATTGTTAACACTGAGGACCAGTCAAACATTTTCTTATCAGCCATTTCTCAACAGAGGGAGAGACAGGAATTATTCAAGGATCCCCCAAATCCAGTTCTGGAGGACAAATGATGGTCCATCTTTTTCATCCAAACAGCACCTCCTCATTTATTTTGAAAACTATAATGCTGCACACTGTGCACTTGCCTCCCCATTGTTTTAAATCTGTCCTTCATATACCTTTATGATTTTAATAAGTGTGCATTTTAAAATAAATGATAAAGGATTCAGGATATACTAAAGTGGGACATCTTTTCTATCCTTTCTGTTTTGAAGTCAGTAAATGGTGTTTTAATGCAAAAACAGTGAAAAATGCGAATTTAATAAAATGTCCGTTCCATTAAGGGCATGACTGAGTAACGTGCTTGAGGGCCCGACAGTAACGGATTAGGATCGGAGGTCGGCGGGGCCCTAAGCTCACTGCTTCCCCCGGGACTGTGGCAAGGAAACACTGCTGCAGAGGCCAGGGCCCCCCGTCCGCTAGGCCTCGGACTCCAGCTGCGCCCGCGCCCCGCTCCGCTCCGCGTCTGCAGGGTCAGTGTCCAGCAGCAGGAACTTCCCGTCGTTTGTGAACGGCACGGACTTCATCAGCTGGGCCAACGCCTCGGGGTCCTGCGGACACACAGCAGATATCGGACAGTGCGTGATTAGGTGCATGATACGTTCTGTGTTTTTGCACTACTGTTATTGAGATCAAC